GAGCTAAGGGGCCCTGCCTCCGTGACAGGTCTGGAACGCTCTGGCCACGTCCTGGAGAAAGGCGGGAAGGTCTTCAGCGCCACACTGGGCCTGGTGGACATTGTTAAAGGAACCAACTCCTATTACAAGCTGCAGCTCCTGGAAGATGACAAAGGAAGCAGGTGTGTTCTGGGGGCGGGGTGTTCGGGGAGCTGTGCTCCAGCAGAGGGTGGGCCCGCTCTGCTGTGCCGTCAGCCTCAGGACTCTGCGTGTTCTCAGTGCCTGGGCCTTCTGTCCCCTCACAAAGAGCATGGGGCGTAGTGAGGCTTCCGGTGAGAGAGGAAGGACGCCCTGCCCTGACAGCCTGGCTCTCCTGGGTCCAGGCGGGCCATCTTAGGGGGTGTCACATAATCTCCCAACTCCTTTCTTACATGCCCTTGAAGATTCTAGTTTCTCATACCCTCACTCATGTTTCTAAACTTCTGCAGCAAGTAAAGTTCGGCAAGAACTGAACTTGTAAATTTTACTTCAAACTCTAGTTACTAAAGATGTTTACATTGGCCTTTCTTGCTGTTATTTGTTAAACCTGATAGAACGAGGCGAGGGCCAGTTCTGGGTGCTGAGGGGCTGGGCTGCTTCTGCGTCCACACCACTGGTCGATCCCACTGGTCGATCTCCCTGTTACAGCCAGCGTGGAGTGGGGCTGTGTGTGGGTGGAACGTTGCGTGGAAGGAACTCATTGAGTTCTAACGGTGAAAATACTTTTAAAATTACTTTCATGTGTTAAACTGTTTTCGCTCATGGAAACCATTTACTCACTGTAACTCCAGGAGATGCAAAGGTTTCCTGGTGGGAAGGCAACCCCGTGGAGGGGAGCCCAGGAAAGGAAAAGCCAGCGCCGCTAAACCCTGCTAGCCTCTGTGTGTAAGCTTAGTTCCTCCCACCTCTTCACCTTTCACCGACCTTTCATTTAAAACGTGAACGTCAGAGGTGACCATAAAGAATACAAAGTATTTGGTTGGCTACTGAACATTTCTAAAGAAATATACCTCAACTGTCATTCAGTTCATTACTTACTCTGGTCAGAGATTTGAAAGTCAAAAATGGTTTCTTGTAGAAATACACCTTCGAAAAGCTAGATGTATATTGTACCGCAGGAGGAGGAGAATAGGCTTTTTGTAGAAATAGTCATGGTCTGTTAAATGACAGGCAATGAGAATAACATTCCCCACCACCAACCAGAAATTCTAATGGTGATTGTGGATGTGTGCGTTTCCTGGGGGCCTGGACTTACTGGGCTGTAGAGTGAAAGGGTTGTGTGGGTTCTTAGGGTGAGAAAATGTTTCTCAGGGTAGGTCAGTGTGGTATCTTCCACACATTTCCAGGCGAAAGAACCTAATAGAATACATTTATATGCTTTTGGGCAACAGCCCAGGAAAACAGGAAGCCCCAAATTTTCTTCCTTTTTTAAAAATATATTTTTATTGATTTCAGAGACGAAGGGAGAGGGAGAGAGAGATAGAAACATCAATGATGAGAGAGAATCATTGATCAACTGCCTCCTACATGCCCCACACTGGAGCCTGCAATCCAGGCATGTGCCCTGACCGGGAATGGAACCGTGATCTCCTGGTTCATAGGTTGACACTCAACCACTGAGCCACACTGGCCGAGCCTTTGAACTCTGGCTTTACCGTAAAATGCATACAAGTTTTATATTTGGGTTCCTAATATATTTATACTTACAGTGATGTAAAACTTAACTTATCCATTACTTCCACTAAGAAAAATTAACTTAGCCAAAGCTAGGCAACACGGGAGCTAGAGGGTACCATGATGTGTGCCCTAAACCGAGGTGGAAGCAGATGGTAGCCTGGGTCTGACGGTGGCTAACCCTCTATGCCACTGCCCCACGCCTCGCATTTCATCGCCTCAGCGTCTGAGCTGAACCAAGTTCCGTATTGTCTTTAGAGTGTGTTGTTAGTGGCTGCATCTCTAAACACGTGACTTCTAAATGACACTTGCTGCATTTCTTTGGGCTCTTTTTATAGGCAATTTGAAAGGCCATTTTTTTTATTTACTTTAAACTTGCTATAACCGTCATTTCAGTAAAAGTAAAATAACTGTTCTTTATTGTAATGTCAGTTCCCTTCGTTCCGCTGTCACTCGTCATTTTAGGGTGTTTGAGTTCTTTCTCACCCAAGTGGACTGTCCGGGGAGGGAACCTCCTCCAGCAGTGTGACCAGCTGACCCACAGATTTGTAATCGCTGCTCCTCTCCCACCCTTGCTGCCCTCGTAGGTACTGGATATTCAGGTCCTGGGGCCGCGTGGGCACCGTGATTGGCAGTAACAAGCTGGAGCAGATGCCGTCCAAGGAGGATGCCGTTGAGCACTTTATGAAATTATATGAAGAGAAAACCGGGAATGCCTGGCACTCCGAAAACTTCACCAAGTATCCCAAAAAGTTCTACCCCCTAGAGATCGACTATGGCCAGGTGATCACGTAATACTCTCACGCCATCCAGTCTTTGTAAAGGGAAGGGTTACCATACGCTTTTAAAAACATTCCACGAATCAGGTGGCATCACTGGTGAATGCTACCAAATGTGTAAAGAATTAATCCAAGTCCTTCACAAACTCTTCCAAAGAACAGAATGGGAAGGACATTCCCAACTCATTATGAGGCCAGTGTCACCCCGATACCAAAGCCAGATGGAGACATCACAGGAAAACTGATGACCAGTATCACTGTGAGTCTAGGTGCAAAACCCTCAACAAAATGCTAGCAGTCTAGCAGCACAGAAGGAATTTATCCGAAGAATGCAAGGTTGGTTCACCATACGAAAATCAGTGTAATATAACGTGAATAGAATAGAGGCTAAAAGCTACATGATCGTCATAGTAGGCCAGGAAAAAGTATTCAATAAAATCCAGTGCCCTTCATGGATGGGGTCCGCACCGTGAAGTGTGAGGTGGAGAGGTTTTGCTGGTTTTTCCTTTGAAATCTGGTGTATTTTTAACCCTTACTGTACATCTCAGCTTAGACTGGCCGCATTTCAAAACTAGTGACTACTGTATTAAACTGCTCTAGAGAGTCATTTCTTCAGGCTGTATAGAATTCCATCCTGTGGGTGGCCATAATTCATAATTTACCAAACAATATAATGTGCCTCCCCCGATAGGGATTTAGATTAGTTGCAGGTATTTGATATAGCAGTGCTGATAAACATAAGTACCCATACCTCTGATTATTACCATAGAGGTGGAGTTCCTGAATTGCAGAGTATGCCCATTTATTCATTTATTTTTTAATATTTTTTTATTGATTTCAACAAGGAAGGGTGAGGGGGAGAGAGAGAGAGAAACATCAGTGATGACAAAATCACTGATCAGCTGCCTCCTGCATGCCCCCTACTGGGGATTGGCCCGCAACTGGTCATGCGCCCTTGACTAGAATCGAACCTGGGACTCTTAAGTCCACAGGCCGACACTGTCCACTGAGCCAAACCAGCTAGGGCCAGAGTGTGTGCATTTAAATAAGGCTTTTTGACATGTTAACAGTTTGTTCCTCGGTGAGGTTAGAACCAGAAGCTGGGTGTTTCCATGTTAAGAGTACATCCCCCCCAAAAAAAGTACATCCACAACAGCCGTGAGCACAGCACGGCACAGGTTTCTGTCTGCATCTGGGTTCAGCCCAGCCGGTCCCCATGCCAGTTCCCTTCCCTGAAGCACATGTAAACACTTAGGTTCTAAGGACTCTGATGGACAGCATAGGCCCTGCCCTCATGTGGTTCAAAAGTAAGAAAAGTTAAGACATTTCCATTACAGTGTGGTCTTGGCTTAGCTGGGTGGTCAGGCAGTGGGGCCGAGCCTCATGCTTACTTTATCAGGAGGGGTGGGGTTTGGGGTGCGGGTGGCTAAGGTGGCTGCACTAAACACTGTCAGGCTGCCTGGCTTGAGGCGTTGGGACGGAGAAGGCTGTACAGACTTAGGCTGTACAGACTTAGTCACTCACGCAGTTGGCCCTGGGATGAGGCGGAGCAGGAGAAGTGGGGGCGAATCTGCCCACGGGTCCCTCGATCCAGGGTTTGCCCTCCTGGCTGCCACGCTCTTCTGGCTTGGGCACGAGTGAGCACTGAACAGATTCCCATGCAGGACACCAGCAGCCCGAGGGCAGGAGACAGTGCGCAGGAGGGGGTGAGGGGAGTGTGAGGCTGCAGTGCCAGCTGGGTACGAATATGGGGCAGTCCAGAGAACTTGGGGGTGCCCTGGAAGTGTCCGATCCCTCTGCAGACTCACACTCTTCCTGGTAGCTGCCGCCCAGGCCTGTGGATGGATGCCTAGCCCTTTTGCTGGTGGCATCGTCCTGGGTACTCGGCCTGCAGCCCAAACACCACCACCATTTGGTTGTTTAACAGGGTCTCTTACTGATTGTCTTCTCCTCCGTAACATACCTGTTCCCCCAAAGGATGAAGAGGCGGTGAAGAAACTGACAGTGAACCCTGGAACCAAGTCCAAGCTCCCCAAGCCGGTGCAGAACCTCATCAAGATGATCTTCGATGTGGAAAGTATGAAGAAAGCCATGGTGGAGTATGAGGTGCGTGCACTGAGTGTCCTCTCTGTGAGCCTTTGCTGGGGGCAGTGGAGTGCTGAGCTGGTGATGCGCTCAGTAGCTCTTACTGGATTCGGCATCTTTGCCTGTTCTTGAGCCTGAGTTGGATGAGGTGTACTGAGGCCTGGGTGCCTGCAGAGGTGTGTTGGAGAGTGTCCCCTGGGTTCCTGGTCCCCCTGCACTTTGCTCCTCCTTGTTGCCATGGTAGCGTCTGTAGCATCTTCTCTGTGGCCCAACAAGCAGGCAGTCCAGGGCGCAGCCCACTCCAGTAGAAGAGCTGCTGTGATCACTGTTGACAAAAGTGCAGGGAGCTTCTGACACTTGCTCGCAGATGAAATTCATTCCAGCTGTTTTAGGAAGAGGTTGGGCCCAGGCTGAGTGAGGGGGTGGGATGGGGGGAGGGTTGAGCCGCTCTCTCTGTCCCGGGTGGACTGTCCCACATGTCTTTCCCAGCTTCCTGTACTCTGGTTTTTCTGTGATTTACAGAAATCCTCACCTACTGTCAGACCTAAGTGTGTATCTTCCTGTGGCATGACACCATGATGCTGTTTTTCACTCAGACGAGCAACTAGTTTTGCAGGAGGAGAAGGGCTGGGCCCTGCCTGGAACAGGCTACAGGCAGCCTGTGAGAGGTGGAGAGGAGGGTGCCGCCTCTTGCCTGGCAGGTTCCCCGTGGTGTCGGGTAACCAGGTGGATAGTGAACTCGGTAACCCTGGGAGCTTTATGCCCAGGAGGGGCAGCTGGTGCTCCCTGCAAGGACGTGAATTCTGAGCCCAGAGCAGAGTGGTGCCAGGGGACAGAGGATGCTATGCCCGGAAGCCTCCCTGTGCTGCAGGGGTGGCTCCTGGGCCCCAGGCATCTCCCACTCGCAGTTCCTCCCAAAGCTGAGCTGCTGGAGCCGCTGCCCCGCCTGTCGCAGGGCTGTGCCTCGAGTCTGCTTGCCGGGCATGGGGGCGTGTGGAGCTGACTCCGCCTCTTGTTCCTGGGGCCTGTGTGTGTGTTGAGGGTGCAGATTAGAGAGACCGGTCTTTTTAAAATAAACATTGAAATGCACCGCTTGGGGAGCCTGCTCTCGGCTCCGGTTACGCTGCCCTGGGTCAGCACGTCTTCTGAGTTCCTCCTTTAGAATTGCTTTCAGAACCACTTTGTACTTCATACTAAAGATCGGCTTTTATCACATCTCCTTGGTTCAAAGCAGATTATCCACCTTCTTCCCCAGAGTTCGCTCCAACTACTTAACTGTCCCCACAGCCAGGCGCCTCGGGATCGGCAGCACCTCGGGTGCAGCAGCACGTGTGCGCACCGCGGCTGGTAGCTATTAGATGCCGGCCCTGCTGGCCCTGCTGGCCCCGCTGGCGCCTGGTGAACTCTGAGCACGTCCATGGCTTATTTCATTTACTCCCCACAGTGGTTCCATGTCTCGGTGCTTGTTGGCGCCACCTCCGTCCCGGGCACTGCAGGTACTGCAGGTGCCGGGGATGCAGAGATGGGTGAGGTGGGTTCTGGGCCCCGGAACAGAGGATCCATTGGGAATAGCCCAGAGACAGTGTCTGAGGATACAGACGGGTCCCCTGCGCACAGATGTGTGGGGGCCGGTGAGCAGTCCAGGCAGGTCACTCTCGGTGGATGTGGGGCCCTGTTTACAGGCAGGGGCCCAAGGCTAAGCAGTGGGTGCACAGCTGGTAGCTGGGGACCAGGCCTTCTGGCTGCAGGTCTGCTGTTGTCCACGTCAGCTTCTCCCTCTCCTGGTGGTGGTCCCGGGTGGTGTGCGCAGTAGCAGTATCGTCAACGCGAATGGATGTTTGACCCGTTGTGGCTGATGTGGAGAGACGCTGGCGACTTGCTGTAAATGCGTATGTTCAGGAGCCGCTCTTTAACAGTCACTTTATAGTCGTTTTCCTCCCGGGAACTGCCGTGGCTCACCTCGTCCTTGCGGGAATTAGCTGGGAATGCGCTGCGTCTTCCCGAAGTGCGTGGCTCTTTCACCTCTAACACAGGGGGGCCTGGCTGGCTTCTCCCTGACACACATGAGTAGCGAGAATCTTCTCATAGACTCTCGGCCCCTGAGTGGGGGTCGGACTGCAAAGTCTGCGGAGTTGGGTGCCTGCATCTCGCAGGAAGATGGGGCAGCTCTGGGTGTGTCTGTCAGGGCCCAGGAGGCCTGGGAAGGTGACCCGTCCCCTCGTGCGGCCACCTCGCCCGGCACCATGCTGCACGGAGCCTGCCTTTCAAGGGGGATCCCCTGTCTCCTCAGATCGACCTTCAGAAGATGCCCTTGGGGAAGCTGAGCAAAAGGCAGATCCAGGCCGCGTACTCGATCCTCAGTGAGGTCCAGCAGGTAAGCGAGGGGCCAGCCCGGCTCTGTCCCAGCTGCCAGTGGCTCTCCTGGGCCAGCCCCCCGGCCAGCCGCTGGTCTCGGGGTGCACGGTACGTTTACTCAAGGTCAATGGATGTGCTGGCAACAGTTCGTGATGATGGAGATTTTTTTCAGTTTTACAAGTGCTGCTGCGAAAGATCACAGAACCAATGAATTAGCAGTGTTTCCAGCGATGAGACAGGTGGTAAACTTCCTGTAAACTCGATGAGGAATTTGGTCCTGCTTCATAAAATACTTGAGAATTAGGCTGAATTTCTTTTGTAGTTACTAGGAGGTTATCAAGTAGAAAGCTAGGTAATGTCTTACTTTCATTAATATCCCCTCCCCCCCTCCACAGAGCCTTCAAGCAGTGAGTGCTCTGGGGGTTCCATTTATGGGGGGGTGGGGTGGAGGTGGGGGGCAGGCTTGGCTTGGCTTGTGAGAGAAGAAAAGCACACAGGAAGCGGCAGTGGGGCCGGGGAAATGCTTTCTGGCTGGAGCTGGGGTAGAGGCCCTGACACGTGGCAGTTAAATCCCATAGAGCTGGTCTTGAGCAGTGTCCCACCAGCTGGGACAGTGTCCCTGCCCACTGCACAGAGCAGGCACACGGCCGCAGACCGAAGGTTTACGACTTAGAGACGCCGATGTCCCTGTGAGAAGCAGACTGCGGCCTCACGCCTGCAGGATGCCAGCTTGCTGCCCCCCTGCCATCCTTGGTCCACCTAGGTGTCGGCCAAGTATGCGTACCCCGTGTCCAGCTCCTCCAGCTCCTTGTTGAACACCTTTTGCATCCGGGGCACTAATTGTCGCTGTGGCAGAAAGGGGAACGCGGCCCTCTGTGCCGGGCCACCGGGACCTCCTGAAAGTAAATCCCAGTCTTAAAGGTGACGTTCAGTGGATGGAGGAGGCCAGACTGAATTTTATAGCAAAGGGATTTTTCCCTTTTATTTTGTTATGAAAAGTTTTCAAAGCATACTAAAGGTTGAAAGAATTTTACAGCAATTCCCATGAGCCCACCACTTAGCTACCACAGTTCCCACCATGCCTCGGATCTGTAACTCCACGGCTCCGGTACAAATGAAGCCTTACGGAAGGCTGACTGTGCTGAGCCTCGGGGTTTGAGGCTGGAGGTCCCGCGCTGCAGGGCTGTGACACCAGCAGGAAGGCTGTGCGCTCACCAGGACCCCTCGGACCCGCCGCCCACCACCTTCTGGAGGAGGAGCCCAGCCCGCGCGGGGCCTCGCTGGCTGCCTCAGCCTGTGTTCCTCTGTCCCTCCCCCAAGGCCTTGTCCCAGGGCAGCAGCGACTCCCAGATCCTGGATCTCTCCAATCGCTTCTACACCTTGATCCCCCACGACTTCGGGATGAAGAAGCCGCCGCTCCTGAGCAACGCAGACAGTGTGCAGGTAGCGCTGGGTCTGCTGGGCTGTGGTGCTGCTCCGAGACTCCCTCTCCACCTCGTGGTCCCTCCGGGCAGGGCCAGCTCTGGGAAGGCCACTTACATGTCGTCATTGTGAAGTGGGGTTCTGCCCACAGTGTGGGGACACCACGGGCAGAGCAGATGTAGTGCTCCCCCTCATCAGTCTGGGGACAGAGCCGGGAGTGGGAGAGCCTCCCTGCCTCGCAAGGCAGCCAGTGTGCGTGCCACCTGTCACCAGTGTGTGCGAGAGAAGAGACGAACCTTCCCGCAGCCTCACGGCTTCCGCCTCCCCACCACAGGGGCCCTCCTTGCTTTCCAAGGAGCCCTCCATGGTGTGCACCCGACAAACAACAGGCCGCCCGGTCAGCTGGGAGTCCCCCCTTCACTGTCCGTTCAAGCTGTTCTCTGCATGCGGTTTTCTGTTCCAAAAGTGGGCGAGTCCTTCTCCCTCAGGGATTTGCTTTGTCCCTGCAGGCCAAGGTGGAAATGCTGGACAACCTGCTGGACATCGAGGTGGCCTACAGCTTGCTCAGGGGAGGGTCTGATGACAGCAGCAAGGACCCCATCGATGTCAACTATGAGAAGCTCAAAACCGACATTAAGGTAACAGGGCCCGCCCTTTCTGAAGTATCCTCCGCGCTCACCCAAGTGCGTGGTCCCCAGACCTCCACGTGTGCCCGGGTCTCCTGGAGAGCTTCCCAGCACAGGGGCTGGGCCCGAACCCCGGCCTGGCTGTCGCGTCCCAGGTGCTGTCCTTGGAGAGCCGCAGGCCGTTTCCCCGACAGCTGAGCACCTGGGTTGCAAGGCAGGCGTCCACACCCAGGCCTCAGTTTGCTGTAGAGACTGGGTCCGAGGGCCTTACAGTACGGTCGTTCCTTATCTCGAGGGGGGTCTGTTTTGGAGACTTTTGTGGCCGGAGCCCTAGGAGATCAGTTACTGTGTCCGTTTCAGAAGCGGAAGTGCCTGATGGCAGCCGCAGTAAGACAGCACCTGGCCATGTCCCCACATGACGCCCGGCGTCCTTGGCTTCTGCACTGGGGCTGACCTGAGGGGAGTGTCAGCCTCAGCTCCTAGCTCGCCCTGGTGCCTCCACTCGGCCCCGTGTCCCTCCCTGCAGAATGACAGGGTCCGCGTTCCCAGAGTCTGCCGAGCCTGGGAGGGCGGGTCTGCGTCACTAAAGAGAGCCCTTGCTCCTTGCTTGGGACAAAGCATAGGACTGTGGGTCCGAGCAGGGAAGCATCGAATGTCATGTGTGTTGCCCTAGGGGCCCCTTCGCGGTGGATGCTCTGGGTTGGTTCTGTGTGAGGGGCTGCTGTGCTAAGAGGCTGGGAGGAAGAGCAGAATTCCTACTTTTCTGAACACTGGGTACGAACTAAATATGGGACACAGCATGTCTCATAACGCTCTCGTTTAGCACGGATTCTCTTAACTCGGTGACAGGTAGGTGGTGGGCGGGTGCCCTGAGCCATGGTGTGCATGGCCCTGAGGAGTCCAGAGCCCCGCCCTCCAGTGCCACAGGGCTGACAGCATCCTTGCCGCTTGGATTGCAAGTCTTGTCTTTGGGGCGCCCCCTCCTGGCCCACATGTCTTACCTCCATGGACTGGACTGGACCTGGGAGCTGGCTCCCTGTTCTAAAGGCTCTTGACCGAGCCCCAGGTCTCTGGTTTCCTCGTAGCCCAAAGAAGGCACATCCAAGGAAGTGGGGCCACTGGCCTGGGACCCCCCCCCCCCAGCTGTGGGGCCTGGGACCTGGGCTCAGTCCCATCTGGGCTTCATGAAGGCCATGGTCATGTGATCTGTGCATCACCTGAGCCTGTGCTGCTCTTCCCACCTGTGTGTGCTCTGATACCAAGATGCCCTTCTCCCAGGTGGTGGACAAAGATTCCGAGGAAGCCAAGATCATCAGGAAATATGTTAAGAACACTCACGCAACCACACACAATGCCTATGACCTGAAAGTCCTCGAGGTAAGGCTCTCCGCCCTCTGCCGGCTCTTCCTGCTCCTTCTTCCAGCCTGGGCCTGGGTAGAAACAAGCAGTTAACTTTGCTTGAAATAACCAGGGGAAATTCCATGTATTTGTTGAGCTGAAAAATGAGTAGTCTCCTGGTTTGGGGGTGGGTTTCTTCTAAAACCTGATTTTAGAATCAGGAAATATTATCAGAGATTCAAAATGAAGTGCTTTGCCCTGGCCGGTTTGGCTCAGTGGTTAGAGCGTCAGCCCGCAGACTGAAGGGTCTTGGTTCGATTCCCAGTCAGTTGCAGGTTCAGTCCCAGCCTCAGTCGGGGCACCTGTGGGAGGCAACCAATCGATGTGGCTCTCTCTTTTCTTCCTCCCTTCCTCCCCCTCCTCCCTTCCACTCTGTCTAAAAATCCACGGGAAAAATATCCTCGGGTGAGGGTTTTTTTTTAATGAAGTGCCTTAGTTGTATATCTTCTACACCAGTGGTCGGCAAACTGCGGCCCCTTGAGTGTGGCTCTTCCACAAAATACCACGTGTGGGCGCGCACGTACAGTGCGATTGAAACTTAGTGGCCACACTCAAGGGGCCAAAGAGCCGCATGTGGCGCGTGAGCCGCAGTTTGCCGACCACTGTCCTACACCTATTACTCGTTTCGTAGCTAGTCTCTGCTAGATGGGACATTGACTAGCCAGGCTGCTCTCTCCCAATGATTGAAACGCCTTACTTACTTTAAGATCTGTTAGGTTTCCTGGCTCAGCTCTCCTGTATCGAGTCAGGTCCCTGGGTTAACCAGAGTAACGTGGTTTCTGTCACCTCTCTCCTTTACTGAATGCCCCAACCAGATCTTTAAGATCGAGCGTGAAGGGGAAAACCAGCGCTACAAGCCCTTCAAGCAGCTGCATAACCGGAGGTTGCTGTGGCACGGGTCTAGAACCACCAATTTCGCTGGGATTCTGTCCCAGGGTCTCCGGATCGCCCCGCCTGAAGCGCCTGTGGTACGTTCCTGGCCTGGAGGTGGGGTGGGCAGGACCTGTCTCTGCCGCTGGCCCCATAGAGCGTTAACAGGGACTTGGGTGAGCCATGCACATGCCCAGTGAGTAGGGTCTGGTGTAAAGATGTAGGTTTGGGCTCGGATGCCCAGTGAGTAGGGGCCTGGTGTAAAGATGTAGGTTTGGGCTCGGATGCCCAGTGAGTAGGGGCCTGGTGTAAAGATGTAGGTTTGGGCTCGGATGCCCAGTAAGTAGGGCCTGGTGTAAAGATGTAGGTTTGGGCTTGGCTGTGGCTGACAAGTGGCTGTTGCCAGGCCTCCCTCTCCAGACCCTTAGCACAGCCCCTGAGTAGGACCTTCGCCCTCGCTCTCCTGACCCAAACTCTGTGGGTGGTGTGGCTGCACGTGCGTGAAGCGTCCAGGCCCTGCTGTGAGTGCTGATTGGGGTGTTGACATGCAGAGAACAGACTTTGGCCGAGAGCCAAGCCGAGCTCCCACCTGCCTGCACCCCTCCCAGCTGGGGGACCTCCATGGAGCTCCCTGTCTCCCTCGGGGCTGCGGTGATCACGAGGAAAGCCCTGCCCAGCCACAGGGTGGTCATGTCACCTGTTGATGGCGGAAGGGCTGCTGGACAGGGCTCAGCGGGGGTCCTCCGAGCCTCTGGTTTCAGGGTTGTAAGAAGTGGGGGAAGCGGGTTAAGGACTCCTTAGTGCTGAGCCACCGCACGTGACTTGGGCAGGTGACCTAACCTTTTTGAACCTCACGTTTCACTTACAAGAGGGAATGAGAATACTAGGCAGCGTTAGTGGGTGTCCACATGTGCCAGGTTCTAGTGGAGCATCTATTGACTCACGTAATGCTCGGCTCGCAGCAGCCCCAGGCGGGTCTTTCCTCTGTTCAGGGGAGGAGGACGTGGGTCCAGAGAGATGAAGCACTTGTTGAGGCCGCTCGGTGCCTGGCAGACCCGGGTTGGAGCAGGCCGTCGGGAGCTCGGGCTCAGCGCCCTGCGAGGGGCGTGGAGAGAGTGGGAAGTGGCGCTGCAGCACTCGGCCTGGCTCCCTGGCACAGGTACCGGGTGGTGCTGCAGCACTCGGCCTGGCTCGCTGGCACCAGTACCGGGTGGTGCTGCAGCACTCGGCTCGGCTCGCTGGCACCGGTACCGGGTGGTGCTGCTGGCTAACTGCCCGCTGAAGCCTCTCCGCTGTCCCTTCCCCCTTGCAGACGGGCTACATGTTCGGCAAAGGGATCTACTTCGCCGACATGGTCTCCAAGAGCGCCAACTACTGCCACACGTCCCAGGGAGACCCGGTGGGCTTGGTCCTCCTGGGAGAGGTTGCCCTGGGGAACATGTGAGTTGCCTGGCGTGGGGGCTGGTGGCCTTGGTGGGGAGGGAGGGTGGGCTCCAGGAAGCAAGGTCCCCTGGCGGGGAGGTGACCCTGGACATTCCCCTCCACAATTATAGGACCCGGGGGCGGGGGGGGGGGTGGCAGAGACCTGTGATGGGAAGTGAACGGGGGAGGGGGAGGAAGGCCTCCAAGCCCGAGGCGGGAGCTGGGAGGCAGAGAGGTTGCTACACAAAGGAGGGTCGCCCGTGGCCCCTCCCACTGCTGTTTAGAGACCAGCTTGGACTAAAGTGCGTCGGTCCCGCTTCTAAGACCCACAGAGAACACCTGGGCCCAGGGATGGGGGACAGAACAACCCCCCGCGTGGCAGCCACCATTCTGTGCAGGACCGTCCTGTGCACGTGGCCTCAGAGCTGATTGCTGGCACGAGCCGTGCAGAAGAGCCTTAGTGTCTGCAGCCGGAGTGGAGGGAGCGCCCGGCCGTGCATGGGCTCGGTTCTCGGGGCTCATCTCCCTCCCTCCCTCGACCTCGTCTGTGAGTCAGAGCCGGGCCCCGGAGGCCCTCTGAGACTGTCCCCTCTCGATCTCTCGAACAGGTACGAGCTGAAGCACGCTTTGCACGTCAGCAAGCTGCCCAAGGGCAAGCACAGTGTCAAAGGTGAGTGTTGCCAAAGCGGAGGCTCTGGCCCCGCCCCCTGGACGCTCCCCCGGAAGCCACATTCCTGGCTCGGCTGTGACACAGCTGGAGGCTCATTTCAGAAGCTTCCCTCGCTGCGGCTGCCCTGGTGTCAGAGCTGCCCGGGGGTCTGTGAGCACCGGCAGCCACTGCTGCTGCGATTTAGCCCGACTCCTCGCTCGCAGCGCCGAGGGCCCCTCGGGGCCGGGTGGCCCCTGCGCA